TTCCACACTTTTATATCAATATGAAGGCTAATGTATGACTTCTTTTCACTATTTATATTTTTTTCACATGAGTTGGGAATCGGAGAGTTAGCATAGGCCCCATCATGATGACCCATCAATTTTTGAGTCATGACAACTTAATTAATTATGCATAACCTGTGTATATTACTAATAATAATGTAATATATCATATACTTATAAGGCGCTTTCAATATGATTTTTTTAGTATTGGATGCCTATTGCACTAGAGTCGGATTTTAGACATGACACTATTAACTTTGTTGAGACTTGAGAGTGTTTATTTAATAATTGAGAGAGTATTCAAAATATTTAAATTGTTTTGTATAAAACATGATTATAGATTAAATAAACTTAGTCTTATACCCACATGTAAACAACTACAAAGTCTTATACCCCACATGAAATTTTGTCCAAAGTGTTCAAGTCACATGAAGCGATATGAACAATATAAAATCATATAGTAAAAAAAAAAAACTTCGATATTTAAATAAATACTGAACTAAATTTGATTTAATTCTTCACTTCACTATTTAGTTACATAAATGATCAAAAGGAAAACATGAAGAAAAATAACAACAAGAAGCTCACTAAGCAATTTTAAGTTCTTTGATGTTCACATGTTTTCTTCTTAAAAGATATATTCATATCTATCGAACAATTCTCTTTTTTATCTAAATCACACTTCCAAAACTAAATTATGTACATTTTTCTTCATACATTTACTTATTTTCTTACAGCAATAGGAATTCTAACATAATGTTTGCCATCACTCCATGCCAAACTTCCAAAGTTAAATTTACTCTTTCTTTGATGAGTAGATATGATTTTGACCTCAAATGATATCTTCTTTGTCTTGGAATTAAACTTCAATACATGTGGACTCACTTTAATTGCACTATTTCTTGGAGGTTTAACCACTAATTTGTATATCGAGTTGACATTTCCAACATTAGTAACAGTTCTCCGAATAGTAACTGAATTCTCAAGATTTGGAATCGATATTGAAGGGAGATTTAAATCCAACCTAGAAGGTACTTTACTTGGACATATAATTCCTCTTGTAGTAGAATTTTTCGTATCGAAAAAATATGTAGTCGCATTGCGAACCTTTTCATTACTATAACCCAGACTGCAAAGATAATTCAAATAATCATTGTTATCCATATCATAGATTAGTCCAGGATCCATAGCACCATTTGGATTACAAATGCCACCTCCAAAATCAAATGGATCAGCAATTTTATTTCCTGCTCCTTCTGAAAATATTTCAAATCCATATGTATCTTCATTCCATGCTACACAATCAAAAAAAGATTATTACTCCTTCCTTCCTTCTGTTTCAATTTATATGAGTTAGTTTGACTTGACACACAGTTTAAGAAAAAAAAGCAAGACTTTAAAAACTTGTAATAGGTTAACATATATTGTTAGTATAAAAATAACGCATACAAGTAAAATCATTTTTTCAACAAAATTTGGAAGGGTGTATACTGTATAGTGCGAGTGTGAGTTATATACACACCAATATGTACAAGTATATTAGTACCATAGGTAAAATTTATGAATTAGAACTATATAACAAGTTAAATTACACATATCGTATTTTTTTTAAAAGATATATTATCAGTATATATAACTTAAATTTATAATATATTACCTGTAGTTACAAGTGCGGATTTAATAGCGGCAGGAGACCAATTAGGATGTGCAACTTTAAGGAGTCCAATAATTCCTGAAATATGAGGAGCTGCCATTGATGTTCCAGACATCAGTTGAAATCCATTATCACCTTCTTTATTAGGAGGAATTGCTGCAAGTATATTTACACCAGGAGCTGCAATATCCGGCTACAATAATATTTGTATTAGATACATTCAAAAATAAATAAATAATTAAACAGACTTTTAAATATATCTATTTTTTGTTGTATTTGTATATTTCATGTTGAAAATATTGAAGTTATGTTATATCTGCCACTGATTAATAGAAATTTCATTTAAGACAATATATAATTATATATTTAATTACCTTCAAAATATCTGGGGTAAGTGAGCTTGGACCTCTTGATGAGAACTTAGGCACCTTTAAATATACTTTCTGGCCCTCAAGAACTTCAGATCGACTGATTTTAATCTTAGGATCTAAATTACTGTTGCAAAAAATAAATCAATGTGCACTAATATAATAACAACGTAACAAAAAAAAATAAAAATTAAAGGTATATTCATAGGGTAGAAGTGAGTTTTCGATTTTTTTTTCTTCAAGAAAATGATTCATTTTTTGAGGAATAATATATTCAGTTGAATTTTTTTAATTACCTTAACATGTTAGATTATTAATACTTATTTAAGAGTTGAATAAAATAGTGATATGATTTTAGAGATGATTGTAAAAGAAAATAAATTTTTTCCGAAAGTGGAAAAACTCATCCCCCCCTCAAAATACACTCTGAATTTTCTTAAAACATTAAAAAATAATTTATTTTTGTCATATTAAATACAGTCTGAATGTGTTGTGATAGAATAAACATAAGAGATTATCGGAAAGTATTAAAAACATTCTTTAACTTGACGCAAATTATTAGTTTCGACTCTGAACTATTGACAATCTTAAAAACACCCATGTACTTGACTAACTAAACTTAAATACACCCCTGATTTGCCACATTGTATATCAAGTGGTCTCGAACTCTTGTAGGACCATGGGACTCTTAATAAAAAATCGAGAAAAGTGTTAAAAAATCTCTAAACTTGGCAAGAATTTAGGGATGCATTTCATCCATGTGGCAAGATTATGGGTGTATTTAAGTTCAATTAGTCAAGTAGCTAGAAGGATATTTCTAAGGTTGCCAATAGTTTAAGAATAAAACTATTAACTCACATAAAATTTAGAGGTATTTTAAATACTTCTGAAAATAATAAAGTGAAACACTAAGAGAAATATTTGTTTACCTCGATTTACATTGTTGAAAATAATCAAATATTTGATTTCCTTGCTCCAAATCAACATAAACAAATGGTATAGGGACACCAATAATTTGATTGTAGTCATTGATTCCAATAAGAGGGTGAGTAGCAACAATAAAAGCCAATACCCCACTAGTATTTAAAGTCGTCAAAGATGTGTATATATCATCTTCCGTTTGAAGGAAAGGCATTAAAACTTTTCCTTTCACTTCTTCAACATTAATAGTTTTAATATCTTCAGGACTGCAAATAAAATTAAAATACAAGTATATATTAACAAAGTTAAATATTCAATTAAAAGTTACGTGCTTAAATCGTATTAACTTTTATTATGTATTGATTTATACAATATACAATATTTCATGACTTACCTTGTTATATTTTTAAAAGTGACCAAAGAAGCAAATGCTTGCTCCTTCCCTTGAAAAATTCCCTTACCCTACAAATTACAATAGTCAAAAACTTTCAAAAGACATCAACAAGAAAGCTAAAATCGATTATACCTAGCCTCACTATATATAATGCGGTCTAGTTCACTATTTGATACAACTTTTTTCCATTTGATTTCAACCCTATCTCATTCGGTGGCGGAGCGGACACCTTTCGTTGAAAAATTAGCACAATGTTTTTGTGTTTTATTTTGAAAATGACACGCCATTATTCTTGGACACCCTTAATAAAATTTCTGACTCGATCTCACTTTTAACAATGATAAAAGATGTAAAAAGCTTACTAGTATTGTGTTGTTGTTGGCAAGTGTTAATGGAGTAACAATTTCTCTATCTTCATTACTAGCAGCAACAAGTATGATCCATGGAGAAGTAGGAGTGACTGTATAAGAGTCAGGTCCAGCATTTCCTCCAGCAACAACAAAAGGTATACCATGAGATGCTGCATGAAAAGATCCTATCCCCATAACACTATAACTTCCACTAGTATCAACTTCAGCAAAATTAATTAGATCACCACCAAAAGATGCTGATAATACATCAACACCATCTTTTATTGCATCATCAATACCAGCTAGAATATCAACACCACCACAATATGAATCACCTTTATCATCCATCCAACCTATCTGTTCAAAATATAGTATTAAATAACATGTTAGCATAATATGAAAATTTGTAGGGCATCTAAAGAGAGACCGTTGCTTGCCATTTTTTTTTTAAAAATAGGTTGAAAATAGCCCTAATGAGTTAAAACAAGTTGAAAAATAGCCTTTGCGGGTTAAAAGCAGACCTCACGGGTTAAAATGAGTTAGAAATGGTTCTTTAGAAAAACTCACAGGTCATATAAGATCAATGAAGCTCTTTTTTTTTATGACAAGGGAAACCCGTAGTCGCTACCCTTTAGGTGCGCACAGGGTAAAACCCCCGCTCCTATGCAATAGCTCGCAAACCACATAGGAGAGGTAACTCGCACTAGGCAAGCCTGGTGCAATGAGCTCGACCCAGAAGGCAAACCCCTTGCTTTTGTTGGCAAGAGGTTTCGAACTTGAGACCTCCAACATGAAAGTCCCAAGCTCAAACCACTGGGCCACCCCGAAGGGTAAGATCAATGAAGCTCTTGATACTACTGTTGGTTTTTTTAAAATGAGACGGTTACTTAAATGTATCTCAATATTTTAATTAAGTATATAAGAGCTTTAAATAACCAATTTGAGCACAAAATTTCTCAACAACTAAAACAAACTAGTACAAATTCTAGATTTATTATATTAAAAATTTATTACAATAACTAAAGTAAAATTTAACACGTTCTATTTTTAACAATTTAAACTTGTAAATGAGTAACACTTGAAAAATATACATACCTTATACATAGCTATACGTGCATTTGGTGCTCCTCCTCGTACTGTCCCCATATTAAGACCATAATATTCCAAATTATTAACATAAGAACCAGCAGCTGTATAAGCAACATGTGTACCATGTCCAACATCATCTAATGGTGATAAATTATATATTTTTTCGACCATTGTTTGATTTAGTCCTCTTTCTTCCATCAATTAATCCTTTTATGTACCAACGAGCACCAATGATTTTTCTATTACAATGTTTTGTGGCATTGAAATTTCCTTCAGATTTGCAACTACCTTTCCATCGACTTGGAATTGGACCTAGTCCTTTATCGTTAAACGCTTCCGAGTCTCCCCATATACCTATAATCATCTCAGTATTAATATGTGTATTCAAATTCAGACATCATATGAGAAGTACTAGTTTATATATAATAAGGAGAAAATTAAACCTGAATCCAAAATGCCAATGATTGATCCATCACCCTGATTTGTTTTGGTGAGAAGATTATTGGGATCATTTTTAGAAAGACCTAAAAAATCCCAACTCCTTGATGTACGTGTTTTATAAACAGGATTTTGTATAACTCGAACCACATCAGATAATTCTGTAACGCGATTAAAAAAACATATACCAATTATGAGAATCTTTTTTTTTTTTGAGAAAGTTATATGTCATTATAATTTTTTTATTTTATTGTGCTTGTATATAAGGTACAAAGAAATGATAATGAAATATTTTTTAACCAAAATTAAAAAATACCTCCGATTTGTTTGGCTTGATGATTAGTGAGCTTAGCAGCAAATCCAGAAAAGCCATGTCTATAGCTATACACCATTTGTTTTTTGGCTTCTTTCTTACTACATGAGAAGAATACATGAGTATATATTTTATGCAAGATTATAAACATTTTTAGTTTCACAATCATATCACTTATAAGTAGATATTTCTATGTGTAGCGACCCTCAACGACGTCTTGTGATTTTTGCTTCATTTCCCCCTAATTGATCCTTTTCGTAGCTTTGGAATGATATTCATGACTTGAAGAGATAACTGACACAACATTTGACGTAATCAGATGTGTTTTGGAGTTAAAAGAGGAAACTTTTGGGTTTTGATTACAACTCCGCTAATTCCAAAGGGTGGTTTGTGACTTGGTTGAAAAATTTGCAGGCTATTACGGACGGTTAGGCCCACTTCACCTACCAATATTTGACACTTTGTTGGGTTGGCGGGCTATTATTGGCTGTTTTTGAAAGGGTTTTTCTATTATATCTTCTTTAATTAAACAAGTTAACTCAGGAAAATGTGGTTTTCAAGTGGTCCGAGAAGTGTGAAGTGAGCTTTCAAAAGCTTAAATCTCTATTGACTTCAGCTCTAGCTTTAAATTTATTAGTAAGGGGTAAGGATTTAACTGTGTATTGTGATGCTTTCGAGATTGTCCTTGGGTGTATATTGATGTATCAAAGGAAGGTTCTACTCTTTTAGCAAGGTAATGGTTCACAAGAATAACTACCTTACTCATAATTTTGAGTTATAAAGTGGTAGTATTTGCTTTGAATATTTGGAGGCATTACCTTAGTTGAGTTTATTGTGAGATCTTCAAGATCATCATAGCCTACAATACATCTTTGATCAAAATGATCTCAATTTGAGGAAACATAGGTGGTTGGAATTATTTAAGGACTATGATATGATGCTTCTTTACCATTCAAGCAACACCAATGTAATTCCATATGCCTAGAGTAGGAAGGCAATGAGTATGGGTAGACGCACCTTATTATTGGTTGAGGATCATCTTTTTTCTTTTGACATTCAATCCTTAGATAACCGATTTATGAGACTTGATTTTTGAGTCAAGAGAGTTATTTCTTGTATGGAGTGTTGTTTATACTTTTTGAGCAGATTAGCGCTTAGTAGTTTGAGGATGAGAAGTTGTAGTTAATTCGAGATAAAGTGTTGAAGGGTGAAGCTAGAGAGGCAATACTGCATCTTGAAGGTGTTTTGAGGATCAAGAATCATGTTTGTGTTCCTAGAGTGGGTGACTTGAGTAGATTGATATGAAGATGTATCGTGACCTAAAGCAACACTATTAGTGGTGTAGGATGGAGAGAGATATTGTGAAGTATATGTCTAAGTGCTTGAATTGTCAACAAGTATGAGCACCAAATACAAGGTGTGGTAATTTAAGGGATGTCGATAACAAAGGGGAAGTAGGAGAGGGTAGATATGGATTTTGTGATAGGCTTACCACATAATTTGAGGAAACTTTACTACTTTGGTCATTGTGGATAGACTGACTAATTAGTTTGTTCATTTCTTGCCAGTTCATATTATGTACAATTCAGAGAGATTAGCTGAGATTTACATGTAGGAGATAGTTTTTTTGCATGGGGTGTCTATTTTCATCATATGAGATAGAGGTATTTTGTTCACATCTCACTTTTAGAGTTCGATGCAGAAGGAATTGGGTACATGAGTTGAGCTCAGTACAACATATCATTCGCAGATTAATGGGCAGTAAAAAAGGACTATTCAGGTCCTTGAGGATATGTTACAAACATGTGTTATTGATCTTGAAGTTCATATTGGGACAAATTCTTTTCTTTAGCCAACTTATAATAAGAACTTCTATTCTAGCATTCATATGTAATCATTTAAAGTTTTTTTTATAGTAGGAGATGTAGAATTCCAACGAGTTTTTTTAATGTATTGGAAGTTAGGGGTTCGGGCAAAAATATGTTGAGAAATTCCATAGATAAGGTGAAGTTGATTCATGACAGATTTCTTACAACTTAGAACAAACAAATAAGTTATGCTAATCGGAATGTTTTGGACTTAGAGTACATGGTTGGAGAGGTGATATTGCTTAAGGTATCACCCATGAAGGACGTCATGAGATTCAAGAATAAGAAGTCAAGCTCAACCCTAGGTTTATTGGTCTATTTCAGATCTTAAAGCATATTGGTTAAGTGGATTATGTGTTATTGTTACCTCCAGGTCTTTTAGATATTCACCCTCTGTTTTATATGTGTATTTTGAAGAAATATCGATCAAATGATTCAAAGAGATGCGGTACAATTGAATTAAATTTTGGCCATTGAAGAGGAGTCAATATATAAAACTATTTTAGTTAGGGAGATTTGCAAGTTGAGGTCCAAGGAAATAGTTGTAAAGGTTTAGTAGAAGCATCATCTGGCGGAAGAGACCACTTGATTGACTCATGAATTAGACATGCGTAATATATATCCCAAGCTATTTGACCTTTCATGTATGTTCTATATCCTTACATATGAGGATGAACACATACTATAACACTAGATGATGTCACGATCCTCAAGGTCATTTTTTTGATTTACTCTTCTTTTCCCCCCATTTGACCCTCTCCATAGCTTTGGAATGATGTAGAGATGAGTGGAACGTTCAAGGTGGACATTTATGTTTTGGGAAAAATTGTGACTTTTGAAAATTTAAAACTTAAGAGGGTTGACTAAAGTCAATATATGGGGCTAAAAAGGGTGTTTGAGGGTTTGATGACTACTAAATCCAGAGGGTGGTTTTCGACTTACTTAGAAGATTTGTAAGGATCCCGAGACACTCTAGAGTGATTTGGACCCTTAGTTTAAAATTTTGAATTTCTTAAGTTTGAAGTTGACCACGATTAATATTCAATCAAGACTATCTATGATTGGTAAATTCAATAATTTCAACAGGTCCAACATATGTTTTATGATGAATTTTCACTATTGGTTTATGTTCGGGGAATCCTAGATGAGTTTCAGGTGTTGAAATCAAATTTTGAACTTGGCTTAATTTGCTATCAAAAGGACCCTTGGTTGGAAATCTTGAATTTGATAAGTTTGGAATTGACCATAATCAATATTCGGTCAAGATGAACTTTGATTGGTAATTCAATAATTTTAATAGGTCTAAAATGTGTTTTATCATCGATTTTTACTATTGATTTATGTTTTAAGAGTTTAGATGGGTTTCAGGTCTTGAAACCAAATTTTGAACTTGGCTTAATTTGCTATCAAATGGTGCGAGCTTGATTGCACATTTGGAGCGAACTTGCACAAAAGATAGTTTTTTTAATTCCATCTATACGACTAATGCGAGGGTGAGTTCCTAATACCTGATTGGTTATTTCCCCATCATTTTATCTTGGACTTTAGACTTAAATTAGTGTTTGGGAATTCAAAATTCGATGGTTTTCAACCACAAGATTCTGTAATCAATTTTTGAAGGATTGAGGTTTGATTTGATATCTATTTTGATTGAAATTTTATATTTAAGTTCCTTATGTTACATGTGTAAAATGATTTTGAAAGAAAAATTTAGTCTTGTTGTCGAATTTCGAGGATTGGCTTTTGCGTGAAATTAACACAAAAATTTTGGATAAGCTTATGGGTATCAATAGACTCATATTCCACGTATAAAACATGTTTTTGATAGATTATGAGCGTTCTAAGGTCATTCAAAGAGGGGGAGGTCGTTATGAGACTGTTTGTGGCTTGGGGTTTGACTTTGATTTAAATTATGGGTGTGTTTGGTATGGAGGAAAATATTTTCCATGTGATAAATGATGCAAGTGTATTTCACTTCATACTCAAAATTATAGATTACACCTAGAATATAAACACAAAGCTAGACACAAAAGGTCAAGAGCATATCCTTGATAGGTTACCTACCATACCTACAATATTTGACTATTACACATTACCTACAATACTTGACTATTATCTTACACACAATCTAATAGTTGAAATACAATATCTTAACACTCCCCCTCAAGCTGGAGCGTACATGTCATATGCTCTAAGCTTGTTTCAAATGTATTCAACCCGAGTTCCTCTAAGGGACTTGGTAAGAATATCTGCCAATTGGTCATTTGAACAAACAAAGCTGGTGGCAATGCATCCGGACTCAATCTTTTGCCTAATGAAATGACAATCCACCTCTCTATGTTTCGTTCTTTCATGAAAAATCGGATTTGAGGCAATATGAAGGGTAGCCTAATTGTCATAAATAAGCTTCATCGGTTTGAATTCAACATATTTCGACTCTTGAAGAAGTTGTTCAACCAAATAAGCTTGCATGTAGTAAGATCCATAGCTTGATATTCTGTTTCAACACTAGATCTTGCAACGACATCTTGCTTTTTACTTTTCCAAGAGATTAAATTATCTCCAATCATGACACAATACCCGGATGTAGAGCGTTTATCTGTTGGAGAACCTACCCAATCCACATCAGAATATCCAATGATGTCAGTGTGACCTTTGTCTTCATATAACAATCCTTGTCCTGGAGCTCTTTTGATGTATCTGAGGATGCAAATTACTGCATCTCAATGATCTTT